TGTGGACAGCTCGAGAATATTGCTCATATTACTTCGGCATCACTTCTCCACACTCACTTTCTCTATTCCTCTCTTAGTATGTCCCTGCATCTTTCTCATTTGTGTGTGTGTGTGTGTGTGGGTGTGTTTCCCCCTCAGTTTGTGATAGGTGCGAATCAGTCTCTCTAAAAGGCTTGTAATTGATTCTGCTGTAATTGGTCAATGACAGGAGATGCTTTGGCAGAAATGGAGCATAAACACGTCTTAGACACAATTTGCAGGATCAATGGGAGGCAGCCTGCTCGGGTGTGAGTGAGAGGGCTGAGATGGGAGTAAGGGAGGGAGGGAGGAGAGACGGAAGGAAGTAAGGGAAGGTCTCTCAATCTCACACTGCAACACAGGGGTTTTTAAGTACCACCGCTGCGTCTGATTGAGGCAAGAAGGCTGAGAAAGCTCAGCGGATCAAAGACTTTTCAAATAGCTTTCTGTCTTTTGTTTTGATTTTTTTTTTTCTCTTTTTTCAGCTGTCACACTGTGGTTTTGTTGAGTAGCAGAGTCATTGACGCAGCAGGGGAACTTCGAAACAATGAAAAGAGAAATAAACCCCAATGAAATGCTAATAACACACATAAAGAAAAAATAGTTTGTGATTTGCCTGCACTTTTTACATTTTTTTCCCACCCTCTCCATTGAAGAGATATAAAGGAGGATTGGAAATATGATACTGTTATGTTTTAAAATTTGATGGGCACGTCTTTGTGAGAGATAAGTGGATATTTACGGTTTTGATATGCCTAGGAATATTCTGTTAGCTTGTTGATGCTTTGGTTACAGATATTTGATTCACCGGGATAAACTAAGGTATCCTGTCCTGATTTTTAAAAGAAGAAAAGAGAAAGGGAGATTTCAAACACGTTCAAGGCGTCTATCATCCTGTGTGCACATAGCAGAGGACAAAATAGCATGTAGTTGTATATTATTTAGCAAAAACTGCTAACTGTGTCCCAAGGGTTTGATGTTATTCTTTTTTCTCTGATTAAAGTGGAAACTACTTTTCAACAACTAAAAAATGTGTCTGTGAAGACTGCATGCAGCTTACAGGTTATATTTGTGCGTGCGTGTGTGTCTCTGCAGGGATACGAAGTGCGGAAGATAACAGCCATTGACCAGGATCTTGGTCGACCAAGAGGAATCGGCTACACCATCATCACAGGTCTGAGTCACATAATCGATCTGACATCCGCAGCACAGAGAGGGGAATCGATCACCTCTTATCATAATTCCGCAGTAATAATAGACAAGTCTCATCGAGCACAACAGTCAATAACAGCAGAGAGGAGCGCCTCAGAATTGGAGAATAGGCTTGGCTCTGAGCATTTATTAATCACTGTTTTGGTTCAGTTATGCAGAAGTCAGCTTTCATTTTGTGTTATCATTCTCAAGTTGGCTTGTGCCATCAAAACAGGATTATGATTTGTCAGCGTGACAAATTTTACCTTCGGCAGACGAGAAGCATGCCACGATTTTTCTGTTGTCGTCTCCGTTTGCGCTTTTTTGTTGTTGTTTTCTTTAAGATTTTGTTTTAGATTTGAGATAAAGGGCCAAAACAAATGACCGCCATATTAAGCTCACTTTGGAAATCCCTGACTTGTGTTGGTGTTACTATATCTGAGAGCTTTACTTTGGAGTTGTACAGCTTGTATGGTGCTGATAAGGATGAAGCAGTGATCCTGCATTAAATACTCTGTTTTCTTACTTCTGCCAAGGATATGATGTTTATGCCTGCCAGTTACTTTGTCTGTCTGTCTGCCAGGAAGATATCTCACAAACTGAACTGACTTCATGAAAGTTGGTGGACAGATTGACCCTGGGGCAAGGTTGCTTAAAGTTAAACTTTGGTGTTGATCCGTATCTGGGATAGACAGGTATTTGTAATGACATGAATACTATATTCATCCTTCCGAGGCTCAAGGTATTAATTTAATATAAATTTTCGTGAAATAATTATTGTTATGCAGCAAAAGCATTGCGTATTAACTCTGCACACACTTTGTAGCTTTGTGTCTTAATCTTTATGCGCCACTGCACCACTTTGCTCTGTAAAACTGGCTTCACATGCTTCGTAATCCTGTAAAACTCGTTGTTAAGCTTGCGCTAAAGGTGCAGATGGATATCTGGGAGAAGTTACAACAAGAGTAATATTGACTGACTATGTAAAAGGATAAACTTTAAATGCACCCCAGTATTATGAATATAACGAGATTAAGTGAATGATTCAGCTGTCATGTTTACACCTGTGCCAATTTATCTTACAGTTAGCTCTTAATGCAGGAAGCATAACTCAGAACAGCTTAACGACATAATGATGACAATATCCTAAATTCCTCCTGCTGTAGTCAATCACTCTCTTTTTTAAGATGCTATTATTTTGTAACTACAACTCTTAATCAGTTTAAAAGAAAAGGTATTAATGAAAAGATTTGCTGGGATTAATTGCAATAAATTACCTTTTTAAGACTCAAGCTTCTGATAGAAGAATGGAAAAAAGCATTGAATTAATATAGAATTTAATTTCCTCTAAGTGGAATAAGTGGAAGCGAATATTAACATTGAATATAAATAACCCATACTTACAGTAATGTGCAAACGTCTTGGATCACCACTCATTTCTTTATGTTTTACTTAAAAGTAGCAAGACTGTTGTTTAAGAGCTCGTGAGGCGATACTTATCAAGACTTTCTGAACATCTTTCAAAGACTTTCTTTGGTTATTGCGAGAAAGGCTGAAGTATATGAAATTACACAGGAGAGAGGTGCGACAGGGAGTGTCTGCAGCCCTCTGTAAAACACGGTGGAGGCTCCGTCAAGGTTTGGGACTGCATATCTGCCAGTTCAGCTTGACGATGATCCCAAACACACTGCCGAATTCATTAAAAGCACGTTGACTGTCTAATATCTCTATAAATTGATGCACTTATCTCCTATTTTCCTATCAAATGACAAATAAATGACGGGCAGCTGAAGGCTTTTGCACAGTCCTGTGGCTTGAATGAATACTTAGTAATATTTATTGAGAGATATGTAATCATATTGCCCAGTATACCCAGCTAATCAACCTCCAAATCAGTAGTCACTGTGACGCCATCTTGCTTGAGTCCATTTCCTTCTTTTAAACTTAAGCATGCTCGTTTTAAATTTCGACATTGCCCCAGGGTAATTGGCCTGGACAAATGTTTATAGAGTTAATTACTGGAAGGCAGACTTTTTTTTGTGCACATGGATATGAATGTATTTTCATGTGCCAGAAAAGCAGAACTCATGGAAGTGGATGCAGGCCAGATACAGACAGATCGAGAGTTGACTGCACATTAACTTAATGTTAATGCTATTTGTTGACATCGTATCTGAAGAGGATGGAAAACAAGTTTACCTGATGACTGTTCCATCAGTTTACCCTCAGCTGTTTCTCTTTTTCTCCTCATTGGTGCACATAAACACCTGTTTTGACACGGGGACGGTGAGCCACCTGCGCAATTTACAGAACCCTACATAACTTGTGAAGTGATCTAGCCGTGCTAATTGTGTTCATTTTTCTTGCTAATGTGTCAGATATTACAATTGACTCACAAAAAAGAATGCGGTAATTTTGACAGCACTATTATAAATTATTCTTGACTGTCACAAAGCTTCTGTGAGCGGCAAACAGTCAATTTAAATTATGATTTATATCTGAGTAATTGACCCAGTTGTGTTGCTTGTATGCATCACAGCCGCTGAACGTATCAGTCAGACTTGTGCGGCCTGTTTGAGAATACAAACCTGAATCATAGTTAATCAGGAGAGACATGAAGCATCTCTATTTCTATTAAGATAAAACACACAAGCACCTTTGACTGTGTTGTCCATCCACTGCTGCAATGCTTCTTTAATACCCCTGCAGGGTGTTTATTTCAACCACAATCAGTGTTTCAGTCCTGAAGGACGAACAATCCCTCAAAGATCCTTCAGGACTGAAACATTGATCTGCGTGGTGGAAAATAAACACCCATTGGGAGGATTACAACCGTCTGTGGACTGTATCCTTTAAACTCTTCTTGCCCCCTGTTGAGCCCAGAATGGCCAGGATGGAGGGACATCGGTACCTCCACTATTGCCAGCTGGCTGATAAGGGCTGGCACCGCTTGATATGCTTGGCACACCATGGGAATTTGTGGTGATAAAGATATTCAGTCTTCTACCATCTGCTGAGTCACTGCGCAATCTCACAGCTGAACGAAGGAATTTGACCCTTTGTCCATGCATGTGCGCAGCCATGCATTATTTGTGAGTGTGTGTGCTTGATAGCTGTACGCTCAGGACAGAGAGGCCACTGCCCAGCCCACTTCTTTACTGAGCTCACCATAAACCTGCTGCTCCCATTCAGTGCACACACCTACTCAGTCTTACTTACCGTCTGCTGCCACATGTTGTATTGTTGTGTGTGTTGTGCTTGTTGCAAAGTTGAGCTTGGCTGAGTTAAGCTCTGGAGGAGAAAAGCATTAAAAAGACATTAATTAGGTGGTGCGATGTATTCCCGGTCGTTGCAAAATCAAGAGTTATAGCACCGCACTAAGCCCTTATGGAGATGGAGTCTGTAGGCTTGATAAAATCATTATAAGTTTGATAGATAATGGAAGTTGAAGGGTGATGTAGTGCTAGGAGATAAAGGTGGGAGGGTAAGGTTATATGATGATGCATTTTGCATGGATATATGTGTCTGTAGCCTCTATATGTGTGTGTGCTTGTACATGCACGCTTACACATATGCCTCTGTCTATCTGCTCAGATTGGTGTGAGGGCGTGCTTGTTTGCAGACTTAAGTGTGACTCTGCATGACTCCTCTCTCGCCGTCCCGCTCCTCACCCCGAGTGTCCTCTGAGACTGCGGCTCACTCCTGCGGGACTCGTCTCATTAGTTCAGTAATTAAGATAAACGAGGTTTTAATTGCAGCTGTGATTCACGCTAATGATTGTGGGACTCAAGATGAGGATTTCCTCTCCCTCCTCCAATCAGAGGAGTGTATCTGGGATTTGATGTGTACATGAGATAGAATCACAGCAGCGCTCTGCCCGCTGTGTTGCAGTTGTTATTTTTTTGTTATGATGAAGGAGATTCAGGGTAGCGGTTCTGATGGTAAATCCGCGGTCCACAGAGTGAGACTTAGCCCTCTTATTGGACCTCTGACTCACTGCTCTCATTATATATCACTTTAGCAAAAGCCCACTGCTGAACTATCCACTGGATTTTTCCTGCTCTAAACATCTGTGGGGGGTTTTCTGACCCAAAATGCTCCAACAATTCCTCAATTACTGGAAATGAGAAAGAAAGGTTTTATCACACACCTATAGTGGCTGTTGCCTTAAACAAACAAACATATTCATGTATACTCCTGACAGAGTTTTGTTTTTTTTAAGTGTGGCTAAAACACAGTCTTTCTTCTGAGCTGATGGTCGGTAAATTACTTAATGCTCATCATTGTCAGTGGTACTAAAGTCGCTCCAAATATACAAGTTACTTTTTATTTCATGCATTTATTACTTAATGATGTTGATTCCTGCATATCTTAAATGGGGCGTGCAGTATAATCATCAAAACAGCTTAAAAGCAGCTTAAAAGCAGCATTGACCATGCAATGTGCCTGCAAACAAGATTAAAAGACAATACTTAATTCACGTTGTATTAATCATGTTAGCATGCTCCTTAATGCTGAGAGGCATGCTGAATTGAAATAAAATCAGTCCAGCATGCCTTTTTGCGATTATTGTATTTGTCATTTTTGCAAGGCTTTTTATTTGGGAAAGCTGTGCAGCAGATCCTTATTGATCACTCTTAGTGGTCCTTCTTCCTACTTATTCAGTCACACATCTGCCATGTAATAAAATTTAAATACACATTAAAAACCCTTTTGTAAAGAAAAAAATAATTAGTTAATGGTTTGATTGGGGAGAAGCTCAGTCATTCAGGAGTGACTAGGGAGCAGATCTGTGGCTCCTCCTCCTTGGGGTAGCTTGTGCTTCAGGTGTTTCTGCATGAAAACATTTGACCTCAGGATGGATGGTTGGATGGATACTTGGCACCCAGATGTCTTTGGAATCAAATATCTGCGTGCTTAGTCTTGTTTCACCGCTTGCTGTGACTCCAGTTCCTCTCAGGAATATCAGATTACATCCTCCCA